CTAAGCCTAATCGCAGAACGGACAATGAACGAAAGATGAGCAGCTATCCTCAATGCAGGAAAAAAGCTGTATTACTAGTTCGTTCAATAGCTAATAGACCTTATCCATCACCAGGGTTGGCGGCATCAATAGACCTTATATTTTGGAACGAATCGTCCGTTTTCTCTGATTAAAACTAGTTTCTACTATACAGGGTGTCCCAAAAAAAGTGTGCAATATTCTACCAGCGGTTTCTAAAGCTTAAAATAGGAAGAAAAGTTTATATAAACATAGATCGACAAACGTCCCCTAAGGGCGCTACGGCCCCTGAAGATGGTTTTTCCTTAATATTTCCGAAACGTGTTGAGATAAAGACATAAAATTTGGTAATCTAGCCTAGTTTTTAATGCTGGATTTAAAAATATTAACAATTTTAGACAGTTTTGTTTGGAAGAGTATGTAACAGGGACGGACTCAGGTAATTTTAGCCCCAAAATTTTTTTGTGATTCTATTTTTGAAATTCAATTTTAGAATTTGAAAATTTAGGGTTTTCTACATAAAAAAGGTACTCCCATTGAATATCGATAAATTGTTCCACTTTTAAATAAAACCAAACTAAAAAATTTGTCATATGATAGGAAATGTACTGCGAATTTAAATGAATTGTTGATTATACATAGTTAGCCATGAGTGCAAACAAAAGTTGTTTTGATTTGTTATGACTGATTTTGACGTTAAGCTGACATTGTTAGCAGTGGAAAATTACTAGATTGAAATCAAAACTTTTATTAAATCGATTTAAAATGCCAAGATTTACAGACAGACAACTGACAGCATGCATTTTGTGTACGAGTTTAGCAATGGCAGTTAATTGGCAGCCGTAAAAGAATATCAAAGATTTCCAAGTACCTGGACGTCGAATGTTTACTGATATTCACCGGAATTTATTGAACCATGGAAGCTTTCAGCGCATGCAGGGCTCAGGAAGGCCACTAGGAAATCATTGTATGGACATCGCTTTAAATATGTATGAAAATAATCCGCAAATGAGCATACGAAATGTTTCAGAAAATATGGATATACCTCTTTTTTTTTATACTCCAACTACCACGAAGGCCTAAGGCCTAAACACCCATTGGGTACCGTGGGGCTATAGGGGGATACAGGGGAAAGGGGGAACATGCACACATTCTGGCTCCGCCTACGAGATCCGCCGGGTGGTACCTCCACGTTCGACAGTCAGAGACCATCTACCACCTACGGACAATGACAACATCCATAGCCAAGAGAAAAATTTCTCCTGGGACGGGACTCGAACCCGCACAGCGCACGGCGACTGATCAGGAGACCGAAGAGTCTACTACTGCGGCCACCGCTGCTGCCTCGATCAATAGTAAGAAAAATGTATGAGTACCTATTTGATAGTTATCCTAAAAATAATAATTCTAGATAGGAAGAATGACAAGAATTCAAGGATTACATCCTTATCATTTTAAACGGGCGCAGCATTTAACGGAGGTAGATTTTTTACCACGAATCGAGTTTTGCCAGTGGATGTTAGCAAATGAAAACACTATTCCTAGAATACTATGGTCGGATGAGTCAATATTTACTAGGAATGGTGCTTTTAATTTCCATAACATGCATCACTGGTCAGATGAAAATCCAAAAGTTGTTCGTTATACAAATTTATTTCCAACATAGATTTTCATTGAACTGATGGGCAAGAGTAATTGGAGATCAAGTAATTGGGCCTATTGTACTTCCCAATCGTCATAATTCAGAGGTGTATCTGAACTTTCTTCAGAATGAGCTCATGGATATAATGCCATTGGATGTGCGCCAGCAGTTTCAAGAAAATATGTTTTTTCAAGATGATGGCGCCCCTGCACATTTTGGACGCAATGTTCAAAATTGGTTGAATGTCAATTTTCCAGACAGGTGGTTAGGCCGAGGAGGTACTATAGCGTGGCCGCCATGTTCACCTGACCTATATCCATTGGAATTCTATTTTTGGGGGGACCTAGTTTACTAGACTGAAGTAAATACTTAAGAAGGTTTACCTCAAAGAATCCATCAGGCCGCAAATGAAATAAGACGAAAAAGGTTTTCCACTTTTCCGCAATCATTAGTTCGTCGAGCGAGACTCTGTATCCAACAAAATGGGAACACTTATTGTAAAGCTAGTATATATATATAGTATGTCTTCTTTTTTAAACAAATTTCAATTTCGTTTGTAGAAAAATTTATTTCTTTTGTTTTTGCCTAAATGTTAGCTACGTTGCAATAGAAATATGTACTTATGTAATATTTACCAAATATTAAATTAGTTTTTTCGTTGCCATGGCTAATTATTCAACAATTCATTTAAATTCGCGTACATTTCCTATCATGTGACAAATTCTTTAGTTTGATTTTATTCAAAAATGGCACAATTTATCGACATTCAATAAGAGTACCTTTTTTATGTAGAAAACCCTAGATTTTCAAATTCTAAAATTGAATTTTAAAAATAGTATCACACAAAAATTTTGGGGCTCAAATTACCTGAATCCGTCCCTGTTACATACGCTTCCAAACAAAACTGTCTAAAATTGATAATATTTTTAAATTGATCATAAAAAACTATGCTAGAATACCAAATTTTATGTCTTTATCTCAACACGTTTCTGAAATATTAAGGTAAAACCACCTCCGGGGGAGCCCCTTTAAAAGACCGTAGCGCCATTAGAGGACGTTTGTCGACCTATCTTTACATAAATTTTTCTTCCTATTTTAAGCTCTAGAAACCACTGGTAGAATATTGCACACTTTTTTCGGGACACCCTGTATACCTACAGTAGAGCCCCGATTATCCGTATCGCGATTATCCGAAACCCGCTTTATCCGAAATAGATCGCATACAATAATGTCTCCGTTTTAACCGAAGTTGTTCGGTAAAGCAGTGCATGATCCAAAATAGCCGACGGTAGTTCCCCCTTCGGCGTTTACGTCATTAGATTCGCTGCCGGTGATTCCCCAAGCGCCTTTGCGGATTTCACTGATATGTGTGCCTGTATGTTTGTTTGAGTCAGGTTCATAATCGCAGCATAGAAATAAACGCGCATTGTTACTACCATAGAACAGAAACTTGATACAATCAGACCTTTAGATTGAGGTGATTTGCTTAACCCTTTGTCTCCCAGAAGTCAATTTTATGTCTACTCTAATTATTACCCAAAGGTACTTTAAATTCTTTCATTATCGTTCTCTTACTATTTTGTAATACCAAACCGTAGAGCTTAGAACGCTGAAGGCACTTCAAAGTACCGAATAAACGAACTTATATTTGAGACATATCTTGGCAACACCATCAGTAACGTCATGTATACTAAGTGACATATAAATCCGGACACCCAGTTTAAATGGTTTTATTTTAATAAAAGTTGGTGAATGTATTTGTCTTACTGTAAATAACAAGTGAAAAAATTTTCAGCCTTATCAGTTGGACATTCCGGTTTTTATACTGCTTTTTTTTAATTCACTAACGCTCTAAAAATGAATATTTCAGCCGCAGTAAAGAATCAACGTTGGCGGATTCTGGTTCTTGACATCCTTTACGATCGGTTACGATACCTAGAGTACGGAGACCTGTACGATTTCGTCAACTTAGTGAGTTTGATAGGGGCCGTATAGTGGGTCTTCGGGAAGCTGGACTTTCTTTTCGGGCAATTGCAGTTAGAGTGCAAAGAAGTGTAGACACTGTGGTTAGGTGTTGTCAGGCATGGCTGCCAGAAGGCCGTACGCAAAGAGCAAGGGGCACTGGACGCCGCCGTAGAACAACAGACCGTGAAGATCGCCGCCTAAGATTATTGGCCTTAAGGGACCGTTTCTCCACTACCAGGTCCATTGCAAATGAATAGTTTGCAGAACACGGAAGACCTATTGGCATGCGAAGTGTTTACAGACGAATGAGAAGTTTTGGCTTGTTTTAATACCGGCCACACTGGGTCCTCCCTTTAACTCGAGAACACCGACGTAATCGCCTTGAGTGGTGCAGACAACGGTCACTCTGGGATCAGGAATGGAACAGTATTGTCTTTAGTGACGAGTCTCGATTTTGTTTAGGCATGCACGATGGTCGTGCCAGGGTTAGAAGGCGACGTGGTGAAAGGAGGAATCCACAGTTTTTTGTTGAAAGACATGTTCATTACACTGTTGGAGTTATGGTTTGGGGTGCTATAGCTTATGGTTCCAGGTCATCTTTGATCTTCATCAGAGGTAACATGAACGCACAGCGTTATATCCACGAAGTTCTAGAATCCCATCTTTTACCCTATCTTGACACCCTGGCAGATCCAACTTTCCAACAAGATAATGCCCGACCACATGTTGCAAGAGTCACAATAGACTTCTTTCAACATAATGATGTCACATTGTTACCATGGCCACCAAGATCTCCCGACTTATCCCCACTTGAGCACGTGTGGGATATGATGGGTAGGAGATTGCTCAATTTGCAATGTCCTCCTCAGACTCTAGAAGCACTTTGAGAGGAGTTGGTGGTTGCCTGGAATGAGATACCACAGGAGGACATTGACCATTGAGCATGCGTAGCACATCAGGGTGCATCCACACATTATTAAAGGTCAAAGGGCTTTAAAGCAGTGCAATCATTTTGAAATTTTTATCATTTACTTATTATGCTTCATTAAGTACTTATACAAAATTTTATTAAAATAAAACCATTTAAACTGGGTGTTCGGATTTATATGTCACTTAGTATATTAGCAAATGTTATGACAGCTTGCTGGTTAGAAAGTGGAGTGCGATTTGAGTCGATCTAAAATTAAGTAATTTTAACTTATAAAGTTCAATATTCGTATTAACTTGAAGGTAAGCACTTTACTTATGAAATCCAATATATAAATATTATTTTCTAATTATTTTGAAAAATATATACGTTATTATTTATTTGGTACTTACAAGTACCGTTGATACTAGGTTACATATGTTTATGTAGCAGATTTCATTTTTGCAGAATGTCATCAAATTTGGAAAGAAAGCGTCCACTAACTGATGCTGAGTTATCGGAATTAGTGGAAAATGATGACTTAGACGATTTTCTACCATTAGATAATAATATAGGGACAGACATTGAACCTGCTTCTGATGAGGAAGAAGTTCAAGATAATCTGCAGCTGGGGGCTGAAGAGCAAGTAATTCATCCACAACAATTTGAAGAGTGTATTGAACAAGAAAATGAACCTGAGCGTATTTGGAAGCAAATAGAAAAAAGTGCCATTCCATTGCCTGAATTCAGTTATGCTTCTACTACATATTATTACTTTTCAAACAAATTTATACGGCACACAAAAAGGTAAAACTTTAAACATTAGTGAAGAAGAAATTCTGGCATTTATAGGAATAAACTTTCTTATGGGTTATCACGTTGTGCCAAATATTTAAAGTTATTGGTCCACTGCAGATGATTTGAAAGTACAAGTAGTACCTGAAACAATGTCAAGAAATAGGTTTCAAACTATACTATCACATTTGCATCTCAATGATAATAGCCTTATTCCAAGTAATAATACAGACAAATTATATAAAGTCAGGCCATTTATTCAATCCTTGAATTCGATGTTCCTGAATTACGTGGGAGAACAAAAGATGTGTCTGGACGAATCTATTGTAAAATTCAAGAGCCGCTCTTCAATAAAGCAGTACAATCCTATGAAGCCCATAAAAAGAGGCTACAAGTTTTGTATTTTGAGTGACATGTCCGGGTTTGTAAAGTTATTTGAAATTTATCAGGGAAAGATTGAACAGATTACTAAAAAATTTGCAAATTACAGTTTGCGAGAGAGAATTGTTCTACAATTGACTGAGCAAGAATGGCACAAAAATAAGATCATTTATTTTGATAACTATTTTACCAGTATTAGGTTGTTTGAGAAGTTAAAACTTGAAGAAACATTGGCATGTGGTACCATCAGAAGCAAAAGAAATGGGTTAGCTAAAGGAATGACAAATGATGAAAGTTTGAAGCGAGGTGAATTTGATCATAAAACTTCAAATACTGGCATTACTTTCTATAAATGGAAAGATAATAAACTAGTTACATTTGCTTCTAATTTCCATGGCACTGGAATTACTCAAATAAAGAGAAAGCTAAGAGATGGCACGACTTGCTGGATCGGTGGACCTTAAATTGTTAAAGACTATAACAAATTTATGGGAGGAGTAGATTACCATGATCAACTACGCCAGTGTTATGGTATTGATAGGCGCTCAATGAAATGGTGGCACCGTATATTTTGGGGCTGTCTTGAAATAACTTGTAAACGCATACGTCTTATACAAAAATGACACTTTTATCATTAAGAAGAGAAGTGACTCTTGGGTTATGTAGCAAATCTCCAAAATTCACTGAAAGGAAGAGAAAATCTACAAACTCAGGACCGACTCCCAGAAAAAGGCGCTACAACTACAGTGTATTATCAGAAATACGATTAGGAAACAGAGGAAACCACTGGCCTAAATTCGTTGAAAGACGTGGACGGTGTGAAATGTGTAGTGCTCAAGGAATTCAACCACACTCAACATGTTCTACATGTGGTGTTTTCCTCTCTGTAAATGAAAAAAAGAACTGTTTTTCACTGTACCATGATGTGTCATAATCTCGTCTATGAATCTAATCTAATCTAGTGTATTATCTAGTGAATAAAAAATCAATTATTTTATTTTTTATTTTCTGACATAGTATGACCACCAAAGGAACTTAGTAGTACCACTTACAGAAATATGTCAAAATGCTATTTTGCTGCGGTCACTTTCAGACCTATTTATAGCTTGAACTAAAACAGAAACAGATTTCAAATGGTATAAAGAAAAATACATGATTTCGACTTCTGGCATTTGAGGGTATGGTAATTTTGTGGTACTTAGAAGTACCATCAGGAGACAAAGGGTTAAAAACGTGTCAGGTGACTTGGGTTTGGGCGTATCATTTCAGAATGGAAAAAACAACGCGAGAAAATTGAAAGGTGGTCTATTGTTCTGACATCTCATCAGCCATTATGGAAAACTATGAAAAATGGGGAAAATCAAAATGTGGATGATGCTTTATATCTGTGGAATACCAATTTCCGGACAGAGTGAAGAATTGCTAATTATTGAGGCGCCAGGTAACTTTACAGCCAGTGTTGGTTGGCTGCATAGATGAAAAAACTACAGGGTATACGCGAATTAAAAGTTTGCGGAGAAAAGTTACCTGCCGATAAGTCCGCTGCATTAAAATTTGGAGAACATTTTAAAGAATTAATGAAGCAGTAAGGTTTAAATCCAGAACAAATTTACAACTGCGATGAAACGGGCCTAAACTATAAAATGTTACCGGCGAAAAGTTTAGCTTCCAAGAATCTGGAGCTCCTGGTTACTAATGCAGAAAAGAAAGTGTGACTATCCTTGCTTCTTGCTTGGAGCAATGCTTCCGGTACACACAAACTTCCTTTGATGTTAATCGAAAAATCATCTAAACCAAGAGCACTTAAACACGTCCGTCCCAACGCTCTTCCAGTGTGGTATAAAGATCAAAAAAAATGCCTGGATGGATGCCGCTCTATTTAAGGACTGGTTTTACAATCATTTTGTTCCCAAGACCGATGTGAGATAATGAATTTTGATATCAGACAATGCTCCGGGCCACCCAAGTGAGGAGCAACTTAAAAATGGAGCAATGCTAGGGATGTTTTTGGCTCCTAATGTAACGTCACTGATTCAATCAATGAATCAATGAGTTTTAAAACATTTAAAACGCAATTACAGACGTTTGTTATTCGAGCAAATTTTTGATCAAGTTGATAATGGCTGTAAGGTCGTTGATTGTTTAAAAGGGATTAACCTCAAGAATGTGGCATATTAGATAGCAGAAGCAAAAAATTCTATATTACAAAAATCTTTTTCGATAATAATTAAGCAAGAAATGGAACCTTGCGCAGACTATGCGAATAACAACGAAAATTTACGTGAGCTGGTCGATAAAATAGCAGGGCTTGAAAATCTGACCCAAGCAGATGTTGGTGAGTGGATTGATGGTGATGAATTGGTGGAAGAATTAACTGATACAGAACTAATAAAAACTGTTTGTACCAATGGAGATGAGATGTGAAGTGATGCTAGTGACAATGAGACATAAATCTCTGCCATAATAGAAGCTCTACAAAAGGAGTTGACTTACGTCGAACAACAAAAAGATGCGACAGCAGCTGACGTGCTACTTATCAAACGTTGGAGGGATATTGTTGCCAAAAATAGGAACAATGCAAAACGTGTACAGTTAAAAATTATTTCATTTGTTCCTAGATACTCGTAAATATGTATGTTTGTATTCACATGTTTATATTTTACGTAACTTTATTAGGTATATACTCACTTAACACACGCATTAACTTTTTTCAATAAAAGCACTTATTTCCGTTTTATCCGAAATTCGACTATCCGAAAGCACTTGGGTCCACATTATTTCGGATAATCGGGGTTCTACTGTACCTATGCTATAACTAGAATTTACTGCTTATATGAATTTAAATTTTATATAAAGCTGCTACTAACTTTAAACCTTGGTTAAAATTAGTAACAGAGAAACTGGTTGGAGGGTTGAAAATATGGGTTTTTTTTATACTCCAACTACCACGAAGGCCTAAGGCCTAAGCACCCATTGGGTACCGTGGGGCTATAGGGGGATACATGGGAAAGAGGGGACGCCACACGGACTCTGGCGAGGGAACACGTGTGCATGCAACATGCACACATTCTGGCTCCGCCTACGAGAACCGCCGGGTGGTAGCTCCGCGTTCGACAGTCAGAGACCATCTGCCACCTACGGACAATCACAACATCCATGCCAAGAGAAAAATTTCTCCTGGGACGGGACTCGAACCCGCACAGCGCACGGCGACTGATCAGGAGACCGAAGAGTCTACTACTGCGGCCACCGCTGCTGCCTAAAACAAACACACAACATCCATGGCGAAGGCGAGATTTGAACTCGCGGCCCGGCCGGCCGGCTGATCAGTAGCACGACACTCTGACCCACGCGGCCAACCGAGGTCCCGATGGGTATTGTTTATCACATTATTAGTTCACAATTATTATTACGTATTAATAAAAAGTAAGGAATAGCAAGGAATATTAAAATACTATAGTAATATTATATCGACAACATTAATTTCAGGCAATTGTGACCACGGAGCTATGGGCAAAATATAAGATCGCCCAAACTCCGCTTTCAGAAATTACTGCGTTTTTTCTCATTTTTTTTTCAGGAGTTTCAAGAAGTAGGTATGGGTAACTAACTACTAATATTTTTAATCATGCTTGTAGGACTTGATATAATTGAGATACGAGGGATGTCTTTTAAGTTTTGCATATGGAAATAAAACAACACGGTAAGTAGTTTTAAATGACTTTATTGTTTTTCGAAGTATTCTCCACGAATATTAATACACATCTGCATGCGCTCGAACTAATTTTCGAAGCAATTATTACACTCGTTTCCTGGCAGATCCAAAACGGCATTTTTGAATGCGTCAACTCCTTCTTCTGGTGACTGGAACCTTTGACCACGCAGTCTGTTTTTAATGTTCGAGAAGGCAAAGAAATCGTTAGGACTTAGATCGGGACTATATGGAGGATAGTCTAATAATTCCACGTTTTCTTCGGTTAAATACTGCCTTGTTTTTTGGGATGTGTGCTAGCTTGCATTGTCTTAATGGAGGATGATTCTTCTTTCGAGGTTGATTTTACGGAGCTCGGTGATGACTTTTGGCAAACAAATGGTGGTATACCAATCCGCAGTAACAGTTCTTTGCTCATTAAGAGGAATTGTTGCAATATGACCCGCTTGACACAAATGTCGCGACCATCTTTTTGATTGTCGTTTAATTTCTGGTTCATAATAGTAAATCCACGATTCATCACCACTAACAATGCTGTACACATTTTTTGAGTTTCCGGAATTGAAACGGTCAAGCGTTTTTTGACACCAATAACCCTGGCTGCTTTGAGTTTGAGTTCTCCATACCAACGGGAAATTGTCGACTGATGTGGCGCTTAGTTGCCGAAAACAGACAGTAACTCAGCAAGGCATTCTTATTGCGATAATTGCCTCTGAGTGTTGTATAAAATTATGGCGCGAAAATGTTCTCGGGTGAGT